TCACCCCTACCAGCCAGCTCACCCCCACGGCCCAACTCACTACCATCAGCCAGCTCACCCCCACAGCCCAGCTCACCCCCACTGCCCAGCTCATCCCTCCACCGTGGACTTCGACAGAAGACAATATGAGGTCATGCCCCGCTATTACTACATCTTACAGCAGGTTACATTCACTCTGCCATTGTGCTGGTTTCTAAATGACATGTTATGAATATAGTTTAATGGAGAGTTATGAACAGAGACGAGAGACAGAGTGCTAAATACACTTTTCAATACTTATTAAACTGAAAAATCCATTTCTCTCCCAAACTTGGATGAAAGGAAGAAAAACAAACAATGTGCAGGCCAGGTTCCTTCCTCAATACCCTTCCTCTGTATTTTCCTGCTTTTCTCATTTAACCCCAACAGTACAGAATCTTCATCTTCTCTGGAGGTAATATTTATGCGGTTTTTAATCACACTCAAAGTTCTATGAATAACCTCTTCAAGTCCTTAACTTCTAATATGTAAAGTCGTGTGCTTCACCTGCAAAAACCTTTCTATTTTATAATAAATGTTCAAGCAAAGCCATTTAAGAAAGCCATTTAACATAATGCTTAACATGAGGCTATTAAGAAATTAAGAATACCATTTTTAAGAGATCAAAAATTTGTAATTACAACTTGCCTAGAAACAAGAATATTAATCTTAGACGACACACTGTGAGACCCTTTAGGAATTCCTGACCAGGAATTGAACCCACAACCTTGGTGCATCAGAAGGATGCTCTAACCAACTGAGCTACCCGGCCGGGCCAACAGTAAAATTTTATGGCTCTACAAATGTCAACTACATTCTGGGGTATAGGATGTTTACTCACCACAAAAAATACTGCTAAATACACTCTAAATTTGAATTATTTTCTTAAATTTGGGAAAATGTATAATATGCAGACCAGACTAATATTAATTAAAGATATGCTCCCCAGTCTATAAACTTCTTCCTCAACCAATCAACTCTCACAGTATTTTTGAAAATAAGTTATATTCTCACTTATGCCCCAACTAATCAAAGCAAAACACAAAGCAATGATGGCCATGTTCTCATTAGTCCCTGACTCAC